ACGCCCTAAAGGGTTTTACAGAAAAGCAGGAGGAACCCACCAGAAATCATCACTTGTTCCTTTGATTCAAAGAGGGTGCAGCGATCTATGGCAGTGTACCACAAGCCTGCTATTTACTGCCACTGAGAAGGAAGTTAGCACTCCCACACCCCGGCAGCAAGATGTGGGAGCTGAAAGCTACCCTGGAAGTATGTCATTTTATACTTCACCATTTTGAGAGCCCTTTTTTTTTTTCCCTGGGAAATCCCTTTTCTGATTTAATGTATCTATCTGAGAAGCTACACAGGCAATTTTGAAATGTAAGATCACGCTGCTAGAGCCAGGCAGCTCTCAAGGGCAAGGCTTCCATTCCAAGCAAATGTGTTTAAGGCTTTGTGGTGTTAGCAGCCTCTCCTCTCCCTCTTTGGATAAATGGAAAATTTCTGTAGGCTCCTGAGAAGCCAGGTGAAGGAAAACTTCTGAACCAGAAGAGTAGGTGTTAAGTGTATGAGTCCAATTACTCTGCTGATTTAAATTAGTTTAGCACCAGTGGAACTATATCCAGTTAAAATTAGCTAAATCTCTGGCCCATAGTACTGTGTCAGTGAAGATGACTAGCATAAAAATGTGTTTAAATATCGAAAATCTGTTTTCAAGTATACCTTTAAGGTCAAATTTTGTCCTGATCATGGGAAGCTGGGCAGGGTAAGGTGCTGGTAGATAGATGCTACTGTGACAGGGGAGCGATAAAAACTCCTAAGGCATAAAGGGAGGTTAATAGCTATGCCCCTTGCTTCAGGAATCCTGACCAGAGCAGGAAATTTTGTGCTGGACCATTATGGGCAGGGGAGCTCACAGTGGGATATATATTACTTCTGAACTAGAGCATTCTGCATGTTGTACATTTTTACAACTACAATGTATGGACTAGACAGATGGAGGTTTGGGCCTATAACTCAGCAGATGCTGACCCCAGGACTTACAGGTAGGTGGCCATACTCCTACTACTTCCATTACTTCTGGAGAAATTCTGCTGACACAAGCAGAGAAACTCCTTCCTTTTCTTACCCCTCTGCCCCCAACATAGGATTAGTGAACACACACAGAAGCTAGTTGTGAGTTTAGCATGTGCCACTTAGTTTTCTAATTTAGTTTATGATAACTGTCATGTTAAGTCCAAGCAGACCCTAGTGTTTGCATTTATTTGCTTTAGGAAACCTTGACACCAGAACTGGAGGGTTAAAACTGATCCCGCCTGGACATAAAGCATGTAGGCAGTCAACACTAACACTGCTAATTTTAGAAACTTGCATTGCTCAAACTTGAAAAAATAACACTCAACAGAATATTCTTCCTAGCTTCATTTCTTTATCAATGTAGGACTTTGGCACGGAGGCATCTTTTACTGGTCCTTCCAACTGCATCAAGCTAGAACAGCTTGACAGTCCACATCCTGATGGAGAGACTAAACTTTAACATCAAGGATTATGTTGCTGATTAGCACTTCCAATAATCAAGTAATTGGGAAATTAAATAATCGAGAGTTTGGCGACTTGCCCGAAAAGGTCACGCTTGCATTGATTCCTTTTCAGAGAGCCCATGTTGCTATTACACAAATTCAATCTGTCTGTCCAGAACTCTAGCGTAAAAATATTTGGCTGATTTCCTTCTTTTCATACAATTTTATGGGAAATAAAATCCAGGAAAAGTTGCATGTTAGGGCAATATGTTCAGATTTTCCAATTAGGGTAGGTGGGGAGCAGAAGAGAAAAAGACAATTCTATGAACTTTTCTGTCTCCTGGGTTAGCGTGGCCAGTGCAATCAATACAAACTTCCAAGGGCCCAAGTCAACACAGTTATTACTTCCGCTCCTACCTTGTTTGTATTTTATTATAATTTCTGAAGAGCTGGGAGTCTCCCATGAGGAATCCTCCCCACAACCAGACTGCCAAAGGAGCTGGGATTTACCTTTTTCCTTCCCCAGGCCTGGGCACATGGGAGGAACTCATGGGCACAGCTGAGGTTAGGGCTGCGGTGCAAGAGGCTGCACTGATGCTGTGCTCCGCTGCTTGTTCCCTCTTGCTTCCTCTGCTCATCCCCTCTGTATAGGCAGGCAGGCTGCTGGGAGGCCAGAAATGTAAGCGGCCTTCTTGCTCCCCTAGACTGCCTATGACCAGCGCTAGCAAAAGGGGGAGGGTCTGCATAAAACCAAAGAGTCCTCACCTCAAATCAGTCATCAGAGCTGCACAAACCACTTGTGCGTGCCTTGAAAGGCTCAAAACCTGTCCGCATTTCACTGTTGTACCCACTGGAATGAGATGGTTATCATGCTGTTTATTTCTGCAGAATATTTTGGGTATCCTCTTTCCCTTGCAGCACACAAGGATCCTGGTCTCACATCTCTTCCTCACAGAGACTACATCTTTTCTTGTGAAGAAAGAAGTGGACGAATACAGACTGACTAATAACCATCACTATGCCATACTATGCTACTGCACAAACCCCAGAGGCATGGCAGACACCCAGGCTGGGCTTTTTAACTTACAGTGTCTATGGAGACATCCATGTCTGTGCCAGTCACACTAAGTTTCCTTCACAGCAGGGAGAAAAAGGCATTCCTAGGGCACAATTTGTCTGAGCTGTCTTAGTTGTTGACTTCAGGATGAGCTCAGCTGTCTCTTTGAAGTGCCTGCTTCTGTAGGTTGATTTTAAAGAGAGTTTAGACAATTAGCTCAGCTGTGTCTTCATTCCAGATGTCTATATTGAGTCAGATTAATCTTGCCTGACAACCTGAAAACTTTTCTGTAAGACAATCCTTACGCTGGGACAAAGGAATACATACAACTCTTGGTGAACAGGAAAATGGTTATTCCTGAGGATAACCACAGTGGCAGTCACTGACATTTAGAGAATACAAAAAGCTGAGGACAGTGAATGATTCTTGTCTTTTCAATGCAGCTTGTTCAGTGTGCCCACTTTTTCTGTCAAATACTACCCGTGAAATGATGTCATATATAATCATGTCAACAGGCATACACAATTCAGTGAAGCCAGAACTCCCTCTGATGTTTTAAGGCTTTGGCTCTGAATGATTCTAAAGCCCTCTTGGGACTGGGACCTCAGAGAGGTGGCATTACTGCAGCCTGGATGGTCCAGGCAAGCATAAATAGATGCTAAGAACGAGCCTGTCGTTCTTAGTACCGCGCCAGTACAGAAACGTGCAAGCCTCTTTCTTAGCACTGGCTTGAAGCAAACCACAGCTATGGGGAGTGTTTGAACAGGTAGGAGAGGAAGGGTTAACCATGGCTCTCCTAAAATTTAATAAAAGAGATGCAGTCAAATAGTGGCCTTCTCTCCAGACCAAATCATTACCCCTACGTAAAAGCATGCATACATTTATGAAGAGACAATCTTTCAAGCTCCAGAAGCGGCACACTGGGGTCTGCAATAAAGATCTCACTGCTGAGAGGGTGTATAGTCCACCCATACCTCAGGGGTGGTTAGGGGGATCCCCACTAGCAGGACTTAGGATTGTGTAAAGATTTTGAATATTCATTCGACCTCTGAGTTATTATATATGTTGTTGAATAGCCCAAGAAAGTTATAGATGTCCTGTGCTCTTACAAATGTATCTTTTAAATGTGTCAGCACATGCCCAGAGCAAAGAATAATGGTTCTGTTCCATCAAAGAAAGTAAATAAATACTGTTTGTGATCAAGGGAAGTAACATATCCAGCACTGCAGCCAGCACGGGGAATGTGGTGTTAACAGATAAAAAGGGAGTTCTGACTACACTGCGGTTTTTTTGATGGTGCAAATAGCTTGCACTGGCAGAGCAGGGAGATATTGCAGTGGCACCGATTTCACAGCATGCGCTGCTATCTATGGTTGTAGGTGCCAAGCACCACTGCAGTCACTATTTGTGCTACCAGGGACAGGGATTTACTGGAGGCTACAGAATATTCCATGGATTGTAATGAAATCTGGCATGTCACCAAGGCACATCCGGCAAGCCGTCAGTATTTTACTGCTGAACAGATTTCTTGCAACACCCACCATTTTCCCTTTTCCTCAAAGATGCTCTCCATGCTTGTGAATCTAAACAAATGCAATTACATTTGTTTCTTGCTCACAGGTTTGAAGCAACAGACATATATTAACCTAACACTTCTACAAAGGTGCTGTTTTATCAGAGGGATTCAGTAGGCTGGGAATAGGGAATGAAGGAGTAATGTGTGTGTCTCTAGAGCAGTGTCCTTGGACAAGCCACTGTTGTTGGCGGACTTACCCCTGTTTCAGCCTTGCTTTACAGCCCTGCCAGGAACCACACACATATACCAACTGCAGGGATGGGGGAAACCTCAGCTGCTTTTCTAAGGTGGGAGACTTGCACCAAAAGCAGGTCTTGCTGTCTTCCAGACAGCAGGCAGTCCCTAAGTGCCAGTATCTGAAGAAGGAAAGCTCAGGGAGAGGGGGTTCAATCCCCCCAAAAACAGCCCAGCTGAAAGCCAGGGTGCGGTCTGGAGACAAACCAGACTAGGATGACTGGAGATGACCATCTGGTAAATCAGTTGGATTTGAGCTAGCAGGAAGCAGCTGGGTCATCCTGCTCTATGCTGTGCTGTAGGGCAATTTCAATCATCAGCATGAAGGCCTGAGCTGCTGCCTAACTCAGCTGGAATAAGTAAGCAGATTAATGGCCCAGACCTAAACCATATCCTAGGCAGAAAACCACTGACTTCGACATACACAACACAATAACTTCACAGCCAGCACTATCATGAAATGTTCTGTGAGCGAAAGTGTAATGAGGCTGCTGATGAATGGAGTACTGACAAGTACAGATGCAATACAACATGAAGAACAATCCTAAAACATAAATACCAATAGTTTTCTGAAAATGCTGATAAGTTGGAATCGGTAACTTTGTGTTTTGCAAAGGCCACATCCACATTAATTTGACCTCAGACCTGAAAATACTCATTCTATTTACACAGAAGGCAGTAGTGATTACACAAACCTTTACTTATTCTGATTTCGAATTCGGAGACACCTCCTTTTCAATGGTGGCTCCAGATCCTCTGGCCCTGTGCTGAGTATTGGTGTTGAGATAATGCACGGTGCAATAGCAGTCTTTTCTGCTGGTTTTGGCACAGGCTGGATCACGCAACCTGTCTTGGGCAGCATCCGCAAAGCATATGCATGGTCCTCGTCTGCTGGATTGTTAAGGTTCGGGTCCTGTTTGTCTCCCCCAGCAAGGGGCTCTTCCCCAGCCTTCTTGCCAGCATCTCCCTCAAGGTGGCAGTTTGAGGCGCAGTTGTTCTCCTTAACAGACTCCAGCTCGCTCACGGCCAGCTCCTCCGGGGGCTGGGGCTTTTTCAGCTCCTGGGGCGGCTCCGGGTTCTTGGAACCCTCTGTGCTCTTCGTGCCATTCACAATGACGTTGCACACCGCTGCACCAGCTTCCAGTCCCAGCGTGCCGGAGGCCAAGGAGACGGGACAGCAGTGAGCTCCGTCACTGCACGGTAACGTTTTTGAGTCAACTGGGCTGCAGTTGTCCCTGCAGTCGCTGCAGTTCCTTTTGTCTGAGCTACCAAAAGCCAGATTTACAACACTGTTAGGTTCACGTTCAACTTTCACTTGGGCGTGTAAAGCCCTGTGGATAACATTGTGCAGCCTAGACCGGTGGCCTACTGTTAGGTCTATCACACCGTCCTGTGGACCCTGTAGCACACTGGGGAAACCAAATTTACTGTTCACTGGACTACTAGGTCTGACAGTCAAGTCAACAACTTCATTTTTACTGTGCTCCTGAAGCACTTGAGCTTGATTTAGGGACTGGCCTGAGCAGCTCGGTGACGAGTCAGAGGATTTGGATGATCCTTGCTTCGACTCTCGGGGGGATGAAGAGCTATTGCTTGGCTTTCCCCCAGATGTTTCATTGGAGGTACTCGGAATGAAGCTTTCACCATTGCTGGAGAAGCCATTGGGGGGTTTGGAGTCGTTGATGTGAGGGATGGGAATGGGAATGGGGATAGGGACAGGCAAAGGGACAATGACAGGATATGGCACTAGTAGAGTCGGGGGTGGCACCAGCGGGGCAAGGGATGGCAATCCAAAGTTCATCATCTGGGGCATAGGCATAGGACCATTTGGCATCATGCTGACAGGGGGAAAGGGAAGACTGGGCAAAGGAGCTCCGGGAGGGGGAGGCGGCAATAAGCCGGGAGGATTCCCAGGCATGGTAGGTGTTGTGGGGGGATGGATATGAGGGGAAAGCATCGGCCTGTGCATGGGGCTAGAGGTCGGACCCATATTTCTGGGGCCACCTGGTGGCGGACCGATTCCAGGAATCATTGGATTTGACAGAGGGCTGTTAGGATTTGAGGCATGGTGAGGCGGCCCGCGAATAAATGGTGGACGGATTTGCTGCATAATTTGCTGCTCCATGAAAATGGGCAGAGGAACTGGCCCACGGTTTGTCATTACCATGGGAGGACTGCGAGGTGGGACACCAATTGGAGGCACAATGCTAGCAGGTGGCTGGACAGAAACTGGTGGAATATTTGGATTCTCACTGATGGGAATAGGTTTGGGAACTGGCGTGGGGATTTTAGTGACAGAGCAGTTGGCAGTGTCAGACGGAGAGGCAGTGGTAGACGCTGATGGTCCAGGACCTTGAATTTGGCCAGCTGCAGACGCTGGGGATGGGGCTTTTCTCCGAGCATCTGCTAGCGGTATATTCCAAGAATCTGGAGTCAGCAGCTGCACCCCAGTGCCTTCTGCTTTATTTTCGACTGGAGGATGTAATGTACTGCACAGTCCAGCTGGAAGATTGGCCTGTGTCTCTTTGTAGAAAATGTCCATTTTGTACTGATTGAGACATTTTGCACTGCAGAACTGAAGCCTTCTTTCCCCGTCCCCAAAATCCAGATACTCTTTTGTGTGTCTTATGTGTTTACACCAGTCACATACCTACAACACAGTAATAAAATCAAATCAGGTAAGAAAAGCAATCTTCTCTTCAGAGTGTTATTTTAAAATTAAATTTTCAGTTGCTTTGTAAATATCCACATTATTTTTCTAGCAAAAAAAAAAAAAAAGTTACATTTGTGAAAACTATATTTTGGGCTTTTTTTGCTCCAAAATATTGGTGAATTGAATGCCACTCCCTTTTCTGGCTCCAATGATCTCAATTATACCTTATACAGTACATTATATATCTTAAACCCATACCACAGATAAGAATCCTCAGCTGGCATAAGCTGTTATAGCACGCATATATAAGTATACAAAATCCGTATGAGTATGGCTGTGATTACTTCTCAGTGGTAATCTAAGCACACCTCTACCATCTGAGATGCCATATTGCGCAAGGAGTATGATAACTAGAAAAGGACTCAGCAAGTTTCTGGAAATGCATGCAAACCATTCCTGCTAAACTTCAGCACACTGTAACATTTAGTATTCTATTAAGGGTATCAAATAATAAGTTGGAAAAGGTGTAGTGTTTTCAAACAGCATCATGAAGCAAAAAGTACCGTTCATCCTTTGCCCTTCATTCCAAGGAGAAACTTGGAAATAGTCAGGACATTTGTGTAAGGTTCGAATAGTCCCAGTTTGTGATGTTTCCGCAAGCTGGAATTATTTTCTGAGCTGGAATTATGTTCTGAGCTGTTTGCCCACTCTTGTGTACGAGTCACTTTGAGTAAAACTTCTTGGCAAGCAAGGGCCTATTTAGCAATTTTTTCAAATTCTATGGCAAAAAGTTTGCATCGCAGGCTCATTTGTGTTTTGTTTCTCTGCTTTCCATTTAATCCTTTTGTGTGTGTGTGTGTTACTATTGGTGTGGTGAAGGCTTAGCCAATTTTTTTTTAAGTAGGGCTGCAGAACTAATTAAGCTGTGAAAGGTTTTCCCAGTTGTAAGCCACTAGACACCAAAGTTCAAAAAATAGTCATTCTAGGCTTCAGAATCCATTACTTCAGAGAAATTATTGTGATTTCATTAACACATTAATTTTGCAACACCAACAGCTCTCACAGATGGTGAAGACATGATCTACAATTCAAATATGACTCTTGTTTGCACAAATGCCTTTCCTTCATATGGCATTTTAAACAAGAATTAATATGAGTAATCTTGCCATAGCTATAAACAGATAAACAGATGTCAGATTTTTCAGTGCCTTACTTCTTTGACAGAATTTTACACACACAAAAACCCCACTTTTGTTATTTACATTAGTTCTCAAAATACTCTACTGACAGAGATTTTTGGTGCTTTCTATTACCATGTTGAGCCTATGACCACATCAGGATACATCCTGGTATTGTTTATTCTGCCTTTTCCAAATAGCCCATATAGGCTTGCTTTGAAATTACTCTATCTTTTGTAGGAAAAAAAAAAAGAATATGATTGTGAAAAGACTGCATTAAAAGGATAATTAATTTTAATAACTATTGGCCATATAAACAATTCAAAACAACATATGTCAGGCATCTGATTACCCATCTCATTTAACTCTCAGCTTTCCTTTAATATAAACAGTGGTGACATTTCCGAGTTTTCAGTAATATATCTTTAATATATATACACACACACGCACACATACACACACTATATGCTATGGCTATTAGCCCATTTATTTTAACTCTGCAACATTTTGGTTATCCAGACGGGTTCTCTCTCCTACCTTCCCTCCTCATTCATGCACTCTCACACACACTGCCTCTCTCTACCACAAGGGTATAGTGCCCTAAAAACATAGACCAAAAGGCTGTCAGATGCACAGAAGGGTCAAGATAAATGCTTCCTTTGCCACAGCTCATGCACCCTCCCTGGGCATGGGGCAGATGGGAAGTGTGAGTGCACCGAGCAAGGCAAAGCAGGGGTACCCCTACTTCAAGGGCTTCCAGCTTTTACCAGGCATCAGCTCTCCCTCTGCTTCCTGCAGTGGCCCTGCTCAGCAGCCATCACAGACGGCACTGGTGCTGGGTAAACCCTCACTGCAGATAGTGCAAACACGCAGCAGTGGGCACTGAACCAGCCTGGGTATTTGGCACAGGTATGGGTTTTGCCAACCACCTGGCAAGTCAGCACAGATGGAAACATCTTGACCTCCTGAAATTTTTTGGCTTCCACTCTTTTTCAAGCAGACAAAAGGGGAATTTGTGTGTCTACACCACAAATTAGTATGGTACTACTTAACTCAATAAAGCTGCTGAATTTACCTTAATTTTTGATCAAGAGCTCACTGCAGTAGTCATAAAATGCTATCTATTTTGCATGTATGGAACCAGAAAATACACCGCCATGCTCCTTCTACCACTTGCAGGATATGCTCTTGCCTCAGGGCTATGCAAAGAGCCAGGGGGTCTCCACGTGTACCCCAAGAGATGCACAAGGAGGTACCAGGAGCTCCCAGCCATCTCCTGGGACAGGCTGGGGCAGGATGAAGCCCACCCATCTTAAAGGTCTTTTCCAGCCTAGTCAATTCTATGATCACCCACAAAAACAGTGTCTACTTGCAGAGAAAAGATGGAGACAGGCCCCAGGGGCAGCTGCTGTATGAAATGAGGCAGGACTTCAGATGCAGCTGCTTCCCTGATTTAGTCCTGGGATGGTGCAGCTAAGACCTGTCCTTCCTTTGGGGCAAAGGAATCAAACCAACTTGTAAGTCTGCTGCAACAGAAGCAGCAGAGAAATATGAGAGAGTAAACCCAGCCTCCTTATCTTTGTAGGAAGAGCCCCCTCAGTGACTTTAATTTAACAGACTGGAAGAAAAATACAGCCCCTGAAAAACTTTTGGCATCTTTTCTAATAATTTAATTTTATTAGTTATCAGTTGAAACATTCACTAGAATACTTCAGTGTTTTATTGCTGTATTGATTTGTTTTTCTCAAGTGGGCTCCTTTGTCACCCCTAGCTAAACAAATATTTTCTCTTCCTCGGTAAAATATTTAGAAATCCTGTTTAGAAATTCTCTACTGATTTCTCCTGTTTTCAATAATTCACTGAGGTACAAGAAACTCTGAAGTCTGCTTGCCTCACATATTGATCACAGACCGTTCTGTATATTTCATCATTAGATAAAATTAATTAAAGCCACAGAAATTAAAGGCAGCAATTCTGTTCCTCTGAACACCCTGGATGAACCAAGTATCTAATAATTATCTCATTGATTTTATGCAACACCTCGAGCGTTGAAGTTAATGTCAGTGAGAAATGTCTACCTATGATATGCACCATTTCATTAATATCTGTCCGTCCGTCCATCCATCCATCCATCCATCCACCCATCCATCCTTCCATCCGTCCATCCATCCATCCATCCATCCAATCAGTCTATGTTACTTATATAAGATACGAGTATAAAATGTGCATGTTGTATGCAGGTAATATGACACCTTATAAGACCATAGTAAAAATCAGATAAACAGTCCCTACAATGAGGAGGAAATTACTGGAGGAGAAAAAATGTCACTTAAGAATTAATGAATCAAGTCTGTCTTACAGGATTGATCATTTAAGATGAGGTCAATGAATTTATGATACAAATGGCTATATCACTAGAGGTAATAAAACAGAGTAATATCATTCATTTTACATCTAACTAATGACGTGCTCAGAGTAATTACAGACTTCTTCTAAAAGCCTGCACTGATTAGTTCAGATGTGATAGGTGAAACATATATATCTTTCCGTTCAATAAAATAACATTTTCCTATCTGAAAACACATCCAACGTCTTTTTTTTTTAGTACTTGCATTCCACACAGAACATAATCGTTCTTTACAACCAGATCAAAATCTCTCTTCATTTATTCCTTCTGTTTCCCTTTTCCTGCCTTATCCTTTACCTTCACCATATGACCGAGAGAAAAGCTAAATTGTTGCAGGCTCTTTGTTAACACTGCACATTGGATGTGGTAGTGCTTACACATGGGAGTAGCTCCCTGGGTTTCACTGGGATTTGTCACTAGAGTTAATGCTGTGGGATCACATATGGAGGGCTTGACTCAGCACCCATGGAAAACAATGAAGAGTTTCCTCTTTAATGCAATCAGTTGGCTTTGGGTCTGACATTTTCAAGGCCAGGTTGGACAGAGCCTTGGGTCGCATGGTTTAATGTGAGGTGTCCCTACCCATGGCAGGGGAGTTGGAACTAGATGATCTTAAGGTCCTTTCCAACTCTAACTGTTCTATGATTCTATGACATTTAACTCCTCACTCACCCTGTAATCAGTGGGAGCCTTGCCCTTGACCTCAACAGGAACAGAGGCACGGCCAGGGATTTTGGAAGGAACTGGCAGAAATACAGAAGAAGAAAAAGTCACAAGGCTGAGTTTCAGACATCTCCTGACAAACGGGTGAAGCAACCATTTTGTACATTTCTACCCAAAAGGAGGTGGGACCTGCAGCGCAGGGACTGACAAGAAGCGTGAACATTTCCAAGATAAAAAGTCAGACCTTGCAAAGTGCTAACAGTTCCCCTACACTTCTTCACCTCCCTTGGAAGATACTCATAGGACTGCTCTTGGGCAAGCACACTTCACACCACCAATGCCAGAATACAAACCCTGAATGAAAGAAAGATCAGTAATAAGATAACTGCCTATCTCATTCAGCTGTAATGCAACAACCCTCAAGAAGATTAAATTTACCTAACTGGGGCATGTCCAACGCTAAACAACAGAGCGAACATTTCCTTCAGTACATTTAATGTATTTATGTTTTAGTGGCGGCTTGCCAGTATGCTACTTATAAGCTCAATGACTTGATATCATTTATCCACTTTCCTGTGAAACATGCAGCAATCTACACCAGGAGACAACTCAGGAGACACTGCATCAGCAGAAACACAACTCGCACCCAATACGGGAACACCAGGGAAGCCAGGACCAAGGGATCCTGTAATACTTGAATTTCTCTAGCACAAAATGGGGAGAAAGCCATTCCTGTTGGCATCCGTATC